TTGGAACCCGTATTCACTGCTAGTAGGAATGTAAAAGGGTGCAACCACATGGAAGGTGGTATGGCATTTTATCAAAAAGTTGGAAATAGAAATACTATGTGACCCAGCAATTCCACTACTAGGAATATGCCCTTAAGATACCAGAGCTGCCACCCAAAGAGATATATGCACACCCATGTTTATTACTGTGTCATTCACAATAGCAAAGAGATAGAGGCAACCCCTAGTGAAATCAACAAATGAATGGATAGTCACACAATGGAACACAGGGCAGTACTGCAAACAAAGAACTCACAAAATATTACACAACCAGGGTGATCTTGGAGGACATCACGCTGAGTGAAATATCTATCACAAAAGGACAAATACTGCCTAACACCCCTGTTATAAAATGGGGGAAACTAAGAAAAGAGGAGATAAATAATGAACACTGCATTGGAACATATGAAGGAAAGAACTATTTAAAAGGAATATATGATTAGGCATTATTTGGATGAAAACAGTCCAGAATAAGAGGTGCATTGCAAAGTGGACTTCGGGAGGGGTGGGAAGGGAATGAGGAAATTGTGCAACAGTGAATGAATATATTCTTTAAAAAAGTTAACTGGGGAGGGTAGGGAGGAAAATGTACAACAATGAATGAATGAAAATAAAAATTTTCTGTAAACTTACATTAAAATCACAATTTTTTTTAAAAAAATAGAGTTCGCAGTAGTTCAGAGACCAGGCTGTAGCTCTGTTTTAGGCTGCCAGTAAATCTTAATTTAGAAAAAAGGTATTGGCTACTAGTTTTCTTAAATAAAAAAATGTCTATATGACAATGCTGTGTACAAAACACAAGTAACATTCTTACTGAATTTTCAGTATTAAAACCTACTTCTGCAAGTAAGTCTCTTAAAGTTGAAGTGTGAAACAGATTTTGACCTTTGTCAGTTGAGTGGAAATGAGAAAGACTTGTTAACCTGGGCTTATTAAAAAATACACAAAGATTACAACACTACCAGGCTATGAATTTTATTTATTAATAAACATTTATTTATTAATTTTATTTAATAAATTTAATATTTCTTTTATTTCCTTTTCCAGAACTATTTTAAAAATACCTTCCAAGCCTAAATAAATAACATTTCCTATCTCAGAAAGAACTATGGTTTCAGCTTTAAAGCCTTCCTTTTTCAAAAACACATTTAATGCTTGAAAAGACAGTAGACATATTTTCATCAAACTGCATTTTAAGTTTAATAAACAGAATAAATTAATTATGGACTGCAATAATAAATAACTCATTTTCCCACTAAAGGCCAGCATCCCATACTATATTTGTATTTGTGGAGTAGAAGGACAAGTACAGACTTGTTAGTGATCAGCAAGTCCAGAAACTCAGAAACTATCATCATCCTAAATGTAAAACTCATTTCATAATTTTAATGTTATGTTTCTTTCTAATGTAATTAAAGTGTTATTAGTAATGGTATTAAATGATAAAGAAAACAGCACAAAACTGATAATCTCTCTGATTATTATCAGATATTAAAATATCTCAGAAACAAAAATGGTGAGACTTTTCATATACTTTGGACATGTTCTCTAGCAGGACAGACGGGAAGCCAATGGTGTGAATCTATCAGTTACTCTGGAGGAAAAGAAGCGGTGGAAACCTGATGCAAGGGCACAATAATTGGAAAGTAACTTCACTGTAGTGTGTTTGTATTGGCTGTGATCAGGAGGGATCAGTCCCTAGAGAAGGACATACTTGGTAAAGTAGGAGGACACTGAAAAAAGAGGAAGATCATCAAGGAGATGGACTGACATCATGGCTGCCACAACAAACTCAAGCACAGCAATGGCTGACTCTGAGGATGGTACAAGACCAGACAATGATCCTTTCTACTGTACACACTGTAAGATTCAGGGACCTAGCAACAAAATGCCTGGCAAAAGATATTGTCTCAAAATTTGTAAAATGAGATATTAAAAGGGTTGCAATCTTATCTATTGAAACTTATTTTCATTTAATACCGATATCTCTTTGGCTGTTATATTTTTGTTTACCACTGAGTTGGGATCAACTCATAGTTGACCTTCCAGTGGGTTCTCAGAGGCAAACTGCTTGCATGATGACTGCCTGTGGAACAGTTGGTGGATTCAGTGTGCCTTTCAGATGACAGTGCAATTTCTTAGCAAAAGCTAAGAAATTACCAAAGCTTACCAAAGCTCCCTTACAAGATGGAAGAAGAGCCATTTTCACATTGTAATGTATTTTACATGGTCACTTGATGAATAATACCAGTTTAGTCTTGGGCAGCAAGGTTTAAAGCCTAAGTTGCACCTGATCCAACCCATGGTATTACCAATTGTTTCAAATGCACATGAAAGTTGCATAATGAATATATAAGACAGAATTGTGGTATTGGCAAAGAACAGATTTGGACTAGCAAATCTGTCTTGGAAGAAATGCAACTAGAGTGTTCCTTCGAAACTGGATCATAAGACTTAAAGAGTTTCATGCACTGTGGGTATGTTATCAAAAGGGGCCAGCTCTGGTGAAAGACAACATGTTTGGAAAAGTAGCAGTTCAGTGCAAAAGAGGAAGACCCTTTATGAGATGAACTGTCACAACAACTGCAATAATGGCCTTAAGTACAGCAGAAATTGTGAAGCCAGCACAAGATCATGTACGGTTTCATACTGTTGGTACATGGGTACACTATTCTGGTGCAAATTAGGTGGAACCTTAGAGAATAGGAAGCATGAAAATATCTATAAATATACTCACTCAAAAAAGTCAACGTCTCGCGATCAAGTAGGAATCAACTTTTAATTGATACTTCAGCAAGTTTTCAGAAGCTTTAAAGACTGCCCATCTCTCTCCTGAAGAGCAGGTGGTAGATTCAAACCACCTGTCTTTGGGTTGGCAGCACAACTCCTTATCCACTAAGTCACCAGAGCACCTTAATATACCCACTGATATTATCTTAAGTCTTAAATACAAAGAATAATTTTTGAAAATAAATTTTCAGTATTGAAAATTAAATGTTAGTAATGGTATCATATAAAAAATACATAAAATTGCATATTTGAGGATTAAGATGTTGACTATTTATTAAAATATTTCGGGGAAGGTGACAAAAACTGATGTCCACTCTACTTCAAGAGTTTTTCTAGGTTAGTCATCACAATTAAATTTTAATTGGAGTGTAAATATAAATCATCAATGAAAGAATAATCAAATCACATGACTTACCAAAAATAGCACTTCACTACCATTATTGTTCAAATCTTCATTCAGTTGCCTACACAGCTCATTTTTATTTAATAATGTAAATGAAAGGTTCCTTCTTTCTTTCATTGTTCTCATACTACTAAAATATACATTATTAATTTAAAACGTCTTCCTTAAATATGAATAAAACCAAATTAATCCCTTTTATTGATTTCAGACACAGTAACATACACTATATTAAAAGGGGGGAACCCACACAACAACACCATAATACACTGGTTTTACCTTGTTGGTAAGCAGGAAATTATCTTTCAAATAAAGCTTTAAAAGGGAGAAGTAGGGGAAATATAAAACTGAAGAATAAGACTTACCCCTTGCAATACACACAATTGTATTTATCTGACTTAATTTAAGTTGCCATATGTCTTGTCAAAGACAAAAAAAATTCTTCTAAAGATATTTAAATTTAAAGCTGAAAGCAATATATTTCACTGCCAACTACTATGTAGTAAGAAACTATTAAAGCCTGCAATGACCTACTTCATATTAGCATCATGACAACATGGATGCATGCCAAAAAAATTAATGAAAATTACTATGTAAGAAAGCTTAATTTTTCATTTAAACTGATTTTGTATTAATAAATTTTCCCTGCTTGCAAATGTGTAAATATGCAATATCAGTTGTTTTAGAATATATTTATATTTTAAATTGTTCATATAAAAGAATGGAGTTTTGGTATTTTAGTAGTCATTTTCAATGACAGACCTTGACAAGGTTTCATTTTCAAAATCAGAGCTTTGTTTACACATTTATAGTCTATTTTTTAATTTCTATTAAAAGCAACTTCTTACACAAAATTCTAAATATTGCTTCCCATTTTTAAAATAGTGCTACACTTCTAGAAAAATGTCAGTTAAGAAAGAACAGTACAAAACCATGCATGCAAGTTCATGTTCAAAGCATATTTGCAATGGCTCTAACAGGATGGACTCAACTCAGTGTATTTAATTATTAAAAGACTACCATTAGTCTTTAAGAGAGTTCAATCTAATGCTGAAATTTTGGAAATGCTCATGCAAGAAAGCACTGAAAGAGCAACGGATATTTCATCTACAGCATCTTAAAAAAAAAAAAGCACAAAGTGGCAAGACGTGTGTTATACTCTTTTATAAATTAAAACCAAAAATATCACCATACTATGAACTGCCACCTTAAATAAAGTATTTCAACACTACAGCATGACTTCCTTCACAATTAATGCAAAATAAAGTATCTGGGGGAGAAATGTAATATTAAGAGAGTCAAAAACATTCAGAAACACTAGCTAACAATTGAGAGGAAGAGACACATTAGGTTTTGTGCTGCATATTAATATCCTTACGCACAATGTCTGTTTGGTGAAAATTCACAATACACTTCTTCCTCCAAGACTGCAAAAAGGAGTAAACACATTTCACATTCCTCAGTCCCAAATCCACGCTATCATCATACAATATGATTTCATTTCCACCTATATTTCTCTTACACTAGGTGAAAAACAAATAATAATGTGTCTATCTCCTCTCACAACTGAGGGGTTAAAAACCATTTGGGGGCTAAGACAACCGGGTTGATGCAAAGTCCCCACACCTCCAGTGGTCCTATAAAAAAATGCACTCGATTCTAGAACCCCACATTCAATGAATGCATCCTCCTCCGCCGCCGCCGCCCCCCACCCCCTTTGCAGCAGAAATGTGCCTGGGGTTTTTACCCTGGCGATGGAGGATCCTCTTACCAGATGGAGTTCTTGATCTTGTGTTGCAGCGCGCTGGCCTCTGTCCCTGGCAGCCCTGGCACAAGGGCTGGCAGAGCCACCCCCGAGTTAGGGGCGCTGGGGGAAAGCTGCTGATGGGCATCAGGCTGCTGTGGTGGCGGCTGTTGTTGTTCCTCTGCCATCGCTGCTGGAGGGGTGGGAGGGAGGGAGGCAAGATGGGGGCGCGGGGAAGGGTGAAGGAAGAGACGGGGAGGGGAGGACGAACGGGGGGAAAGGAGAAGGAGGAGGAGGAGGAGAAGGGGAGCGGGGCAGGAGGAGGAGGAGGAGGAAGGAAGCTGGATAAGCTAGGCCTTTACCCCAGGGCTCGAGTGAGTCGCTTTCGCCTGCCGCCTGGGGGACATCACCGGGGAGACCAAGAGGCTCCACACGGCCTGGGAGCTTCACCGCGGGAGAGGCATGGCGGCGCCCCTCAGCCCCCCGCGCCGCCGCCGCTGCCTCCTCTCGTCAGCGGCCGGGGCTAGGGGGTGAGGAGGGGGCGTCTGAAGACAAGGTGGGGGAAGGCTGCCCCCCAAAATCCAAGGAGAAAGGTCCCTCAGTGTCTTCACAGCCCAGCCTTCCTTCCTTGCCCCCAGGGCTTTCTATTCCGGGGGCCCAGCGCTGCTGCAGCCCCAGGCTCCGCTCCACGCCACTCCCCACGCCGCCGCCGCTCGCTCCCGGCCCCGCCGCCGCCGCCGCGGCCGCCGCTGCCCTGCCAGCCCGGAGGAAGCCCAGTGCGCGCAGCCGCACTGCGGCCCGGCGCAGACGGCAAAACACCTACCGCTCCCCGGGGGGGTGGGGGGCGCGCCTCGTACGAGGGTGTGCGGGTTACGGGCGCTGGTGCTGGGGGCCGGGAGGGGGCTTGCACGGTGCAGACAGTGGGCGCGGGAGACCCGGACCAGGGAAGCGCGCAGCAGGGGCAGAGAGGGGACTGGCCAAGCTGGTGGAAGACAGCAGAAAATGTGGGGGAGGTGCTGGCAAGATAGAGAGGGAGAGAACTTGCTAGAGGAGGAGAAAACAAATTTAAGAATACTTAGCATGGTAATAAGAATTTTTTTGGGGGGAGGGGAACTATTCAAAGCAAGGAAAGTGAGCATTACACACCTCCCCTTGACAATTGAGGTTTACTTCCTTGCTAGGTAAATTAGGAGAAGTGAAGCAGGTGAGAGGATACGCTGATTTTCCAAAACCCCAAAGAACACCCATTGGCATTAATGACCCTTTTAGGTAATCTGGTTTTGAACGGAAATCGCAAGTCAGGAGCTGGGTTGAGTGCTCCTCAGTCGGGCATTCAAAGCCCTCCAAATCTGGCCCCACTTTAGTTATCCAATCATAGCAGTCCATCCCCCTGTAAGAACTCCCGGCTCCAATCAGTGAAGTCTCTATGCCATCCTCAATGCGCAGCAGATTCATTCTTTCTTCGTTCCTTTGCTCATGCAGTTCCCCTCCACCTTCCATCCCACCCCCTTTCTAGGAATGCCCTCCTTCCGCTATATGGCTCCCACTCCAACCGCGCTCTAAGGCATAGCTCAAGTCACGGCTTGTCAAGGTCCCTGGAAGCCAAGGCCCCTGCCTGCCTTGCAAAGGAACACGTGTAATTCTTACAACATGGAGGCTCAGGTACCAGCAACAAGCTCCTTCCTTTGAGTCAGTTGAAGCTCGTGGACACTGACTTTCCACACCTCTACCTCTTCTCCATTCATGCGTAAGAAATAGCTTTGCCCTCTAAGATTCTCTGCCACAAACAAGCAGGTGCCCTTTAAGAGCAGAAGAATTGGCTTATTTTCCTAGGTGGAGCTGATCAGGGAGGCCTAAACTGCCTGGTGTAGAAGACAACAGCCAAGAAGGCCTCTGGCACCAGCGGGAACAGCTGCTCAGCTCACACTGACCTTTTTCTTGGCCTGCGGATGGCAGGATTCTGATAGACTTTCAATCTGGTTTTTACCTGTCAGATTCCCTGATCACTTTGTTGCTGTGCTTGGACTTTGGGTTATAATGTTCTGCCACTTTTTGACGCCTAGCATGTGATAAATAGGATTGGCTTGGGCAACCTGGCCTTTGGAGTACAGTTCTGAGCCTTGGCCTGGAACCCTCTTGCTTTGCAATACTGTGCTCTCCGGCCTGTCCCAGAGACACTAGGCCCTGATTCACAACCTCTTGGATTCCTTTGTGAGCTTGAATCTCCATTGCACTGATTTTTATCCCACAAATGAGTAAGGTCACTGTTAGCTAGTTGGAGAAACTACAGGCCTATTTGTGAAATTAATTTTGTGTATGTGCTCCTGTATCATATGTAGAAATAATATTTTTCTCTACCAAATGGTCCACATAATATATGCTAAGCAGAGCTTCAAGTCAAGTCAAGTCAACTCAATTTATTTAGTCAGAGCCAACTTATAGCTGACACTCCAGCGGGGTTTTCGAAGGCTGTGAATAGCGCAGGAGGAGATTGCCTGTCTTAGTCCTGTGGAGGAGATGGTAGAATTGAACTGCAAGAGAGACTGGCCTCTGGTTTAGCAGCACAACACCCCACCCCCACCACAAACTATGTCAGCAGAGCTTCCTAGAATATCAAAGAAGAATAGAACTAACTGATGTTTATTGAAAATTTTTAGTGTGCCAGGCTTAGTACTTTCCATATGTTATGATAGCTAATCCTCCTCTTGTTGCATAGCATTGAATTGCAACCAACTCATAGTTGGCCCTCCAGTAGGTTTTTAGAGGTAGAAAATCACATGGGAGGTGATTGCCTATCTTTCTCCCTAAGAGTAGCTGGTTGATTCAAACTATCTACTCTGGGGTTGGTAGCACAGCTCCTTATCTCTAGGCCACTAAAATGCCTAAGAACTGTATAAGGTAGATATTATTATTCTTTCTTTCTGGGATTTTCCAGGGTGATGAAATAGTTAAGGGCTTGACTATTGTGTTGTTATATACCAAAGAATCAGAACTGACCCATAATTGCTGACCCTCGCAGCTGGAGGCCACGAACTGAGTGCTTCTGGGATTGCAAAAGCTTCTTAGCACTAGACCACAAGAGCTCCCTAAGAGCTTGGCTATTAACTGAAATGACTGTTATAACCCACCCAACCAAAAGAAAGACCTGGCTTAACAAAGGTCACAGCCATGAAAACCATAAGGTGCACTGTTCTACTCTGCAAAATGTAGGAGGTGAATGGCAACTGGTGCTTTTTATCCTTTCTATTTTACATATGAAACTGAAATTTGGAGAGGTTAAATCGCTTTCTTAAAGTTACCCAATTAGAAGGGAGCTCTGCTGGCCTAGTGGCAAGAGCTACACTGTAATCCAAGAGGTACGTGGTTTGAATCCACCAGATGCTCTGCTGGAGAAGGAGGGGCAGTCTCCTTCTGTACCAGTCAGATCTGATTTGACTGTACACGCACACAAAATAATAATAAAATTTTAAAAAATTTAAGAAGTTACACGATTAGTAAATAAAGGTGTCAGGATTAAAGTCTAATTTCAGAGTCTGTAAATCATACTGATAGTAGGATTATCCTGAAATATATGTATGACCTCTATGTCCGTTAGAAAGATAGAAATAAGTAAAAAGGCATTGGTTAAAATTGCTAAACTCTCCCCAAAATCAGAGCCAAACTCTCTGCCATCAAATTTATCCCATCCCAGAGAGACACTATAGGGCAAAGGGGAATTTTTCTTAGGATTTCCAATGGTGTAAATCTTATGGAAGCACACTTGTGGTCCGTGGGTTGGCCAGTAGATTTGAACTGCCAACCTTTTGTGCAGCACTGCAATGTTTACTCCACTGTGCCACCTAAGCTGCTATGCTAACCACCCCCGGTTCTAATAATTTTACCTTACCAGAAGAGAATGCTGACTCAATGTTGTCACACCCTGGAAGGGGAGATTTTTGGAAGACTCATCCAAGGAAAATGACATACCTGAGACCAACCAAAGCCTAAGGAAAGGAAGCTGAAGACCAGAAGTTTAAAACTTGCCTACCGGGTGTCACATAGGCTGACTTCCCAAGTGCAACTTTGGAGTTTTTAATAGGTTCCATAAAAGAGCCTTGGTACCACAGCTACCACTAGAGGGCTAAGCAGCCTGCATCCCTGAGCTGCCCTCTAGTGGTGGTGCTGAGTAGGGGTATAGTGCAGTCTTTAGGCCTTCAAAGACAACAGGTGGTGTGAGGAAACATCTGGCACTCTTTATGTTTAACCAGAAATGAAAGAGGTGGCTAATAGGATAAGATTAAGGAGAAACCACTGACAGATCCTTAAAGAGTAGGAGACTCATCCAAGGAATATACCTGAGGCCAAATTGGGGACCTAAGCAACTCTGGTGGCTTAGTGGTAAGGAATTGAGCTGCCAATGCAATGGTAGACAGTTCAAATCCACCAACAGCAAAAAGATGGACAATATCTCCTTCTGTGCGATTTAATGCTTCCAAAAAGCCACTGGAGGGTCAGCCATAGGCCGGTTTTGACTTGACAGACTTAACACTGCTTCACCTAACATCTAGAAGTAGAGTGGATGTTTTGTTAGTCTTCATAAAGAACTAGGAACAAAATGATGTCACAAAGAAATCTGACAAAGTTATTAAAAAAAATCCTGGGTGGAGATTCAAGCTAGATACAGAAGATTTTGGTAAAGCCTGCAAGTTCTATTTCAATTGTATGCTACCTCTTGGGGTATGTAGTCCTCTACTAAAAATAAGCAAGTCCCCCAAATCAGTGTGACTTGCTTTCTCAGAGCTTCAATTAATTCAGTGTTAACTATTTTAAAACATCTTAATTACCATAATTTTAAAGGTAATACACTAGGTGTCACAGAATTTTAGTTTCTATTTCCAAATCCTGAGGAGGATTATTTTGAAAAATAGTGGAAAACACTAATACAGTGGAAAATAACAAAACAAACAAACAAAAAAACTGGCTTAGAGTCAAATGATCTGGGTAATAAACCATTTCCATCTCTAAAGTCTCTGGGTAGGACAAACAGTTTGCATTCATCTACTAGCCTGAAGATTGATAGTTCCAACCAACTCTCAAGTTTCATGAAGAAAGGCCTGGGGATAGGCTTCCATAAAGATTACAGCCAAGAAAACCCCATTAAGCAGTTCTACTCTGTAATACATGGGGTCATCATGAGTTGAATTCGGCT